TGAAGTCGGTGGTGACTACTTCAGATGCAAAAGGATCCAAGAAGTAGAAGTTTAAGAAGTAGAAGTGGAACCTAAACCTTCCATGTGCCACATGTCATATGCCATGTGTCCAAAAATAGCAGAATGGAACCCGAGTTTTAGGGTTTGGGCTACTAAATGAAGATATAGAGCCAAACTCCCAAGCTTGTAGCAAATGAACAAAGAAACTAGAGCACAAAGTGACTCTTGAGTGTTTAGCCCAAGGAGCAAAGAAACAAGAGCACGAAGCGATGTTGGAACAGTCTTATACTAGGATTAACACACAAAATGGAGCCAAACGTAATTTAGTGCTATTTAAGCATACCGATGGCCTAACACAAGGATATGACTCCACTAGCTAGCATGGTGTTGAACTTGGGCTTAAACCCAAGTTAAATGTAAAACAAAGACAAACACACAAGCAAGAGCTAAACTATACCTCGGGTTGGTCAGCCATAACTAATATACCTACTATCCTTACTATACATTTGGAACCCTTCTTTACTAAATATGAAATAGTGCTAGAATGTGAATTTGAATATGGGAGCAACACTTCTACATTTCGTAGATATGCCTAATTAGCAAATCTAGACACTTTCTATAAATAGCCAATAGGACAACACAAGTGGCATAATAACAAAAGTGTTTAGTAGATATGGTAAGTTATTGCTGTAAACGACTAAATGTTTTATTTTACTTTAGTTATTTAACCACACCTTCGACCACTTGGAGGAGTTTCATTTATAACATCTATAAGTTTATTCCCAACTTGGGGACGTGCTAGCCCTGTGAATGACATCTATGCCACTTAGCCTTTGCACTTGGTCTAAATACTCTACGTGTCCAATCCCATTACAAACACCCAAAGGTACCATTGACATATTAGCCTGTTACACTAAGGCTATGTCCATTCACTTTTGTCTCATTGGTAGTCCAAAACCATCCATACCACAATTCTGTCTCCCAAAAACTGAGCCACCTTGTAAAACACAAATCCTTAAGCCCCAAAGTGGAGCCGAAAAGGTGCCACATAGTAGTGGTTGAAGCAGAAACCAAATAAACACATTTGGACTAAAAGCTCCAAGTTGGATAATCGAGAGTGGGAGTGGAACTCCCAACGAAGTGCTCAAGGAACAAGCATAAAGCAAGCAATAAGTGAGTCTTTAGGAAAGAGATACAAAAGGATCAACACATGACATATTAAAGTGTCAAGATGGAGTTCTAAATGGACCTGAGATGGACTTGAGATGGAGTCCGAGATGGACCCAAGATAGAGTTTGAAATGGACCTGAGATGGACCCAAGATGGAGTTCGAGATGGAGTCCAAGATAGAGTCTGAGATGGACCCGAGATGGAGTCCGAGATGGAGTCCAAAAAGAACTTGAGATGGAATCCAAAATGAACTCGAGATGGAGTTCGAGGTTAATACCGAGACCAAGACTAAGACCGAGTCTGAGTTCAAATCCAAGGGTGAAAGCCCAAAGCATTCATCTCCTAGACTCTGGGGGGTTTGGTGAGCTCCAAAAGTATAGTAGGGGGAAGAGTTAGTGGAGCTAGTTTGGCCAAGAAAGGCAAGTGTGCCAAGGAAAGTTATACGTGGTGGGTGTTGATAAAACCATTGAGGAATCCAAGGCTAGAGTGAATATGGATATACAAGTGGGGTAACTTGATAAAGTGTTCAAGAACTAACTCTAGCTCCCCTAGGAGATTGATTGGTCAATGCTCCCAATCAAAGTGTAGGTGGCAGTACCTGCTTGGATACTTGGCATGGTTCATCGGAACCTCGCTCTAGCCACATGGCTAGAGCACCTAAAGGCAGAAGGTGAGGAGAATACCCACAAGGCTCGCATAGGGCTATGGTGCTTTAAAATGTCGTCCCAAAGTCCCAAATTATGGAAAGGAAAAGGAATAATCCTTTTATGTAGTGACTAAGGATACAGTCACATAGTGAGGAAGTCCCATAGGTTAGTGGGACTTAATGGTTAAGCCTTTAGGCCTTGACCTAGTGGCAATATTGGCAAGTACAGCCGTGGATGAAGAGGGACTTGGTGAGGACGAAAGAAGGGACATTGAAGAAGGGTGTTCCCTATATCTCTAGGCATTTTAAGGGTGCTAAAGGGTGGTCAAGGAATGACCACTCATGGGCAGATAGCCTAGTCCTTAAGAGATGGGGCTATGATGTAAGTGGTTTTGGATTACTGATATGACAAGGGTGAATATATATAGCCTTAGCACAACAAATTGATATGTCAGTGGTACTTTTGGGTGTCAATCATGGGACATGTCGAGCACTTGGACTAAGTGCAAAGACTACGTGGCATAAATGCCATTCCTAGGGCTAACATGTCCTAAGTCAATAGAACTAATAAAAGTTGTGAGTGAAACTCTTCCAAGTTATCAAAGGTGTGGTTAAATGACTAAAGTAGAATGGAAAAATTAGTTGCTTACACATCTGTCCACGAGTAGTCATCCCCTAGCCACACCTTAGTACCTTTAGGATGCCTAAAGACATAGGGAACACCCTTCCCTAATATTCCTCCATTCGTCCTCATCAACTCACACTTTGTCCATGGCAATGCTCATCAACACTACCACTAGGTTAGAGCCCAAAGGCTTAACCACTAAGTCCCATTGACCTTTAGTACTTCCTCACTATGTGACTATGCCCTTGATTACTATGGAAGAGGACCACCCACACTTGGATTTAAAGCATCAACTATTCAATTTTCTAGGGGAGCTAAAGGTGGCTTTTGAACACTTCACCAAGTTACCCCACTTTTTTGTTTGTATTCACTTTAACTTTGGACTCCTTAGTGGTTATATTATCATCTACTATAGGTATAACTTTCCTTGGTCACACTAACTTTTCTTGGCCAAACTAGTTCCATTGGAATCCTCCCTATACTATTTACCCTAGTGACCTTTAGAGCTCACTAGGGTTTGGGAGAAAATTGCTTTGGGCTTTCACCCTCAAACTAGGACTCAGACTTGGACTTGGGCTTGAACTTGGTCTTGGACTCAAACTCGATCTCGGTCTCAGTCTCGACCTCAACTTCAGACTTAGTCTCGATCTCCATCTTAGACTTGATTTCGAACTCTATATCAGGTCCATCTTGAACTCCATCTTAGACTCCATCTCGGGTCCATCTTGGACTCCATCTCGGGTCTATCTTAGGCTCCATCTTAGACTCTATCTCAGATTCCATCTTAAACTCCATTTCGGGCTCCATTTCAGGTCCATCTTGGACTCCATCTTAGACTCCATCTCCGACTCCATCTCGAGCTCCATTTCAAGTCCATCTTAGACTCCATCTTGGACTCCATCTCAGACTCCTTCTTGGACTCATTTCTAATATTTCTATGTGTCACAACATTTACCATATATCAGTCCTTCTTGTGTCCCTTTCTTAGAAACTCATTCACCGACTGTTTTATGCTCATTTTTTGAGCACTTTGTTCGGGGTTTCACTCCCGCTATCGACTTTCCAAGTTGAAGATTTTGGTTCAAACATGATACACTTATTGGACTTCCATTTCAACCACTACTATATAGCACTATTTCAGCTCCATTTTGGGGATTAGAGATTTATGTCTCACAATCACCTAGTAAGTATTAAAGGCTCAAGGTCAATATCATAAGTTCTTGTTAAGCCAATGCAAAACAGAACAAAAGAGAATTAACAAGCTAGGCCAAGTATGTTTGGCTAAATAAAAATTTAAGAATTCTTTCTTTATGCTCATTTGGCTAAGTATAGATGGTAAATCAAGTTTGCTTTTGTACAAGAGGAATTGATAAAGGGTCTAACAATATTGACCTCCAGCCAGTAAGAAAAGAATATATAAAAGGACTAGCTAACAGATAACTTTCAATACTTGCACATTCATGGCACTCTTCAAACATAATTAAAGTTTCTTTTGAACTTCACCAATATGAGTGTATAGAATATAAAAATGAAATACAAAAATATATATATTAATTAGCCTAAAAACTATAGCTTATATATAAAAGTAAGTGGTCCTAATTAAAACCAATCTAATGGCAATCAAATTTTCACTATGCTAATATTAGTATATGACATTGTAGTAGTACATTTAGACCTTATAAATTAAATTTTAATGTTATATAAGCAATCATTAGCTTTTTTAGATTTTAGATTTTATTGATATAATTACATTTTATTTGTTATAGTTTTTTATGAACTAAATTTTTTCTAAAACATTTTTAATTCAGCACATTGTAAAAGTTACTTAATTTCCATATAAACAAATGGAAAATGATAAATGCATTATGAGATTAAAAGTGAAATAAAATATAGTACTAAAGTTAAAATTGGAAGCATTTTAAGAATATTTTTTTTGTAATAAAATAGATATGAATTTACAATATCTTTGCAGTCAATATATAATATTGAGCTAGCATGTTAGTGCTTTTACACAATAAAAAAAATGTTAACAATGATTAATTAAAACATTTTTTATGTCATAAGCTGATAGTATCAAGCCACAAATTAATAATATTAATAATTGAATTAACATATATTAATTAATAATTTTTACTGATTATTTAATTATTTTTATGAATTGTTTTGCAAATTATTTTTATAAATTTTAATATTACATCTTACATACAAATTTGACTTTAGAAAACTGTTATACATTAATTTTTTAACACGGTTAAAATACATGCCCTAATTGATTTATATATGTAGAAAATAAAATAATATTTTAGTTAATTTTACAAGAAAACAATTTTCATTTAATTTTATATTTATATAAAAATTTAATTTCTAATTTTTATATTGTATAATTTTACAATATGTTTTTGAAGGGTAAAACTAGTTCAGAATTTATAAGTTATTCCAAAATTGAAATTAATTAGTAAGCCTAAATTTTTTCCCGAAAAGCTTAGAATAATGCAAAAAGTTATTTAGGTTTAACATTTTACCATTATTAGCCGATAACCCTTTACCCTAATATTTTGCGGCTCAACGGTCCTGTGAGATATGGCCCTTGAATGCCAGAGAGCGGCCACATTGCCCGAGAGAATGCGAATGGAAGAAGAGAAGGCGAGATCGTCAGAGAGCTACATTATTGCGGAGCTCGGCGAGGCTGAGCAGCAGGCGCTCGCGGATTTCAAGCTCGCCATCGCGGCGGCGGCCAAGGCCGGTGAGTTTTCGATCCCTAGCGCTGGAAATGCCGGCGCCACCGAGCAGGGCGATGATCCTCCTCCCGCCGCCGCACCGGCGGGCATCGATTCGTCCGATTCGGGGATCACTCTTTGGGGAATCCCTCTCTTGGATGGGAGCGGCGCCGCCGACGTCGTGATGCTCAAGTTCCTGCGCGCCCGGGAGTTCAAGGTCGATGTGGCCGTGGGAATGCTCAAGAACACTGTGAGCTGGAGGAAGCGCTTTGGCTGCGATGGGGGTTTTCTGGGAGAGGAGATTGAGGCTGGGATTAAGAGCACAGGCTTCTACTATGGCTGTGACAAGGGCGGCCATCCCGTGTGCTACAACATCGTCGACTCTGGGATGTATCAAGAGCTTTTGGATGGCCAGGACGGGTTTGAGAAGCTCTTGAGGTGGAGAGTGAAACTCATGGAGGATGGGATCAAGCTCCTGGATTTTGATCCTCGGGGCGTCTCCAGCATGGTCCAGGTGATCGATCTCAAGAACTTCTCGATGAAGAAGAAGGCGAGGGCCGCGCTTCTCGACACTATACAGCTTTTTTCAGACAACTATCCGGAGCTCGTTTCAAAGCTGGTAGTGCATTCATTTCTTCGTTCTGTTTTTCATTTTTGTCTTGCCAGATGCTTGTCAATGTTCCGTGGTACTACAACGCTTTATACGTCATGATCAGTCCGTTCTTGACACAACGGTCAAAGGACAAGATCTCGGTCGCAACCAAACGAAAAACACCCGAGGCTTTGTTCGCGTAAGCTTTGCTTCAGTGATTCATTTTGATAAAAACAGTGAAGTCTGCTGACTTGAAAACCTCGACTGCCAGGGCCATCTCTCCGGAAAATGTTCCAGTCCAGTATGGAGGACTCGGAAAGGCAAACGATGAGCTCTTCAGGAATGCGAAGGCAACGATCACGGAATCCTGCGTGAAAGCCGGCTCCATGCTTATAATCGAGATCCAAATAAACGAGGTGAATGGATCGAAGCTTTGACAGTGGAGTGAGTACTCATGCTTTTGTTTATTCCTTTGCTTTTGCTACAGGGCGACGAAGTCTCTTGGGAGCTCTCGGTTCTAGGATGGGATGTGAGCTATGGCGCGGAATTCACCCCCTCTACGGAAGGAGGCTACACGGTTATTGTGGAAAAGCCGAGAAAGATCTCAGCGCAAGAATTTCAGGGAGAGGGAGAGCTCGTAGGAAATGATGGCATTTGCAACACGTTCAAGACAAAATCGCCAGGTTCGCTGCTGCTCACCATTGACAACTCTGCCGCGAAAAAGAAAAAGCTGGTTCACTACAGATACATCGTCAGGGGATGAGATGAGAGAGCACATCTTAATTGTAAGCAAGTCCATTCTCTTTTGATTATCTTTGGCTTTGATTTTGATAGCCTGTCGTGCTTTGTCACAAATGCAGGCACTAAGCAGCACAAAAGCGATACTTTCTTCATTGCATTTAGTCTAAGTAAGTATGATAGCTTTTTTTCCACAAGGTTCTTCTGATTACACTACAACTTAATCAAAGGAACAAATTTTTTGAGGAGGTAGTGTGGCACACTGGCATTTGCTCCCCAGCTCAACACCAGCTAAGGGGACTTTAGAGTGACCACTGTGTCACATCATGGCCTGGTTTGTTAGCCACTATTCTAAGTACAAAGATCCCCCTGACCATTGCAAATCCACAGCCATGTTAGATCCTCCAGTAGATTAATAGAATCCAGTTAGTTGATTAAATCAGGTGGACAACAGGACTAGAAAAGACTTCTTTTATCATGTGCCAAGCCTGCCACCTTTTTAAATAGATTAAACGCGAATCATATGGAATCATGCACCGGAACGTGCTCCTCTACGAAGTACAGTCGTAGCTATACGTCTCAGAATCCGTCGTGAAATCTTGCACGTCGGTTGTTAGCGCAGGGGGGAGTCTAGGCCGTTGGAGAAGTTACACAAGGGCATTCTGTTTTCACCCGTGCCAGCCACGCTTTTTACCCCGCGCCGACGACCGGTGGTCAACAGCGCTTACGTCATGACCAATTAGAGCTAAGGCTGATTTGGCTGTTTGTTGTTCGGTAAAACATGCCCCCAGATATAGGCAGTCAGACAGCGTCCGGCCTGAAAACTAGCGACGTTTGAAGCACATGCCATTTCTGACAATGCTGACACGTGGTGGCTTTTTGGCCGGTCATCTGGATACGTGGGACAAGTCCGGTGGCGACGCGTGGAAGGATCGCAGCCGTGGATCCCTGCATCGGAATGGCCACTGTTTTATTGTAGAATGGAATGGCCAGCCAGTAGAGCGGAGGGAGGCTTGCGCTTGAATGTTACTCTCTTTTTCTCTTCCTTTCTCGATAGCGCGATGGATCGGTGACGAGCGCTTGTCCGGTGCGAGTGGCAGTGTGTCCAATGCATCGATTGGTCCCGGGGTTTGTGTGAAGTTCTTGGAAATTTGCGGTGTTTCTCCCTTGTCGAGCTCAGATTCCACTGCCATGGCGTCTCTCCTCCTCGCCGCGGTGAATTTCCGAGGCGCGCGCCTGGTTCTTGGAAAATCCGGCGTCTAGAGACTCAAATCGGCATCGCGCAGCTCCCGCAGTGATCCGATCGGGCAGGGAAGGGCAGGATCACACAGGAATCGGAAGAATCTTCCAGCGCGGCCGCGAAATCCATCGTAATATCGAGCGAGCGGCGCTTTCTTCAAAGGTAGAGCGAGGCGAGGGATCGAAATGGAGACATGTGCCGCGTAAATGCGAGATTGGCAGCAGTCCTTCTCCAATCAATCGCCGTGAAGCCGACAGATCTCCAAGAAAGAAGGCGAACAACAGCAGCACAGGGTTTCGAGCAAGAAAGCAAGAACAGTGAAGAAGACGACGAGGAGGGAGGAGATCTTCCTTGTCCTACTATGTTGAATGGAAAGCGAAGAGAAGACGACGACGACGACGAACTAGTCCGCTCGCTCATCAAATGTTCGCAGCTTAGCAGCCGCCGACTCCCCTTGGCGCGATGCGAGTGAAAGCTCTCCAAGAGGTTTAAAGTCACCCAGATAATTTCCTCCATTTCCTCTCTGCCAGCCATCACCACTGCGATCATCGCTACTTTCTTCTTCTTCTTCTCGGCCGCCGCTGGGATCATTCATTCACGTCTCACGTTTCTGGAACACGGGGTTTCTTCCGGGCAAAGTTTTCTTCTTTAGTTTTCAAGACACAGGTGGTGGAACAAGGAGGCTTAGTTAGTAGTAGTAATAGTGGTGACGACGACGATAGAAAAAAAAAAGGAAGGAAGGGAGAAAAAGGAAGCTCTGGGCAGTGTGCTGTGGCTGGGCTGCCCTCAACTTTCTTTGCTGCGCACAGAGGTCCTGAAAACTACATGTGGTCATCCAGCGGCCTGAGCAGCAGCAAATAATCTTTTATCGTAGCGTTCTTCCAGCAGTCCGTCGTCACTGGCAGCGCTGTTCTGCTACTACTGCTACTGCGACTGCTGCCGCTGCTCCTGGTGCTGCTGCTGCTACTGCTGCTACTGGGTTTTGGAAGCGGATGGAATGGAATGGAGGGAAGCTGCTGGTTTGGCTCCTTTCAGTACTCTATGCTAGCTCTGGGCCGCGGCAGCATTTGTTGTTGCTGATAACGAATTGATGGTGGAAGGCGCTTGCAAGCTTTGGCCGCGCTCTCGACACGAAACCAAACACCAAGAATTACGTTGCTCGGTTCCGTCTCCCCGGCCGCGGCTGTGCACGGCGTAGATAGAGTTTTCTCGGACGCTGATGATCGGCCGAGAAGCGAAGACACGGCACGGAACTTGCAGGAGGACGTCCTTGTTGCTGATTGAATGCATGCACGCAGGAGCTGGGAAGCGCGGGTGGATTTGTTGAGACGCATAGAGATCTTGGAACTTTCTTGCTTGAAAGGTAAGCAAAGCTCTCTTCTTTTTTATCTTTCGTTTTCTCGCTCGTAATCGGCAATGTAGCTTACTCTTTCTCTTCTTCTCCCATGCAGCTCTCGTGCGTAGCGCTGTGGAGCTCATGGCGAATTCCAATCAGGGAGACGGGAGATTCGTGAACTGGGTACAGTTTCTCAATTCCAGCCTACCACCGAAAAGCCCTTCGGGAGCCGTGGAAGCCGCTGGATTCTCCTCCGGCCGCAGCAGCAATGGCAGCAGTAGTAAAATCCATCACCAGCGAACACCATCGGCAGGCTTCGTCCCGCAGCTCACTCCACAGTCCTGGATCGACGACATGCTCGACTCTCCGGAAGCTTCAGCCAGGAAGATACACCACCGGCGCTCCGCAAGCGACACTGCTGCATTCCTGGACCTCCCCGATCCGAGCTCGAGCAGATCACTCCCCGACGAGTTTAAGCGAGACGACGAGTTCTCCGACAGGAGCTACTTGTCCTCCTCGAGAGCTTCAGACTTCGAGCGGCTCGACGAAGCCGAGCAGATCGTGTCCATGTTTAGCAGTGTCGGAGGCTCGGAGGTATCGCAGAGATCCAGACCGGCAGGGCTCATCTGCTCCTCTTCGTCAGGGGGGAATGGAAACCACCACAGTGGCGCCGCCGCGAGGGAGGAGAAGAAGCAAGCTCCGCCGGACGCGACCACCTCTCCCTCCGATAGCAACAGTGGTAACGATATGTCCACTGAAGACGGGCGGCCGGGACCATTGAGCTGCCCCAAAACCGAGCCAGACGAGGTCCAAAGTGTGAATGCGAGCGAAGCTCCAGGTAGCATGACCATTGCCACTACAGTGGGTGCCAAGCAACCGACTGCGTCATCACACATCGACCCGAATATGGATCCCAAACGAGCCAAACGGTAGTTTCAAAGTTCCAAGCAGCTGATCATTGGCTTAAATCCTTGCTTGGTGTTTTCTTCCAGAATTCTGGCGAACAGGCAATCGGCTCAGCGGTCCCGCGTACGGAAACTACAGTATATTGCTGAACTTGAAAGGAGTGTGACTGCATTGCAGGCATGTGAACTTCCTGCTTTCCTTTTCTCTTTCCCTCTTCCTTTGCCATCGTAGTTTATATCTCTCTGCGGCTCTGCGGCAGAAGTAGACATGTTTGGACGTACTGCTTGATAGTTAAGTGATCAGGGATTGATAATAGCTTTTAGTCTCCACAGGGCAGGGTGTTGTTTTCTTTGTTTTGTCAAGCTCTGGAGTGTGCTAACCATTTTGTTAATGTCGCCTTGTCTCTGTTTTTCCAGGCGGAGGTATCCGCGCTAACGCCCCAAGTCGCTTTCCTGGATCACCAGAGGATCCTGCTAAACGTGGACAACAACTCGATAAAGCAGCGGATAACATCGCTCATACAAGACAAATGCTTCAAAGATGGTCAGTGAGTTCCTTCTTTTCCGGGTTTATAGTCACGAGCTCAAAGCTCTCTTTCCTTTCACTTTGGATGATCTAGCTCAAAACGAGGCACTCACGAGGGAGCTCCAGCGGCTGAGGCAAATGGTGCTCCAGCAGCAAGACGAGCTGCGATCGCAGCTCCAGCAATTCAACGCGGCCGGGGACAACGACGATCAGCAGCAGCACGAGAGCAAGCCGGACTTGTCGTCCTCGTCGTTCGGTTTGAGAGTCAAGGTACATCCACAGCCCTCGTCCGAGATTCTTGCCACTACTAATTCTACTTCCACCATTTCGACCGCCGCCACTAATTGCTTGCTAGGGGAGATCGAAAACGGCAATGGTCATGACAGTAACTAGCTAGTAATCTCGCTGGCTCTTTTTTCTGCACATCATGCTAAATTCTTTCATTTTTTACCACCTTTTCTTTTAATTCGAAAAAGCTAAGTTTTAGGACACAAGGTACAAACAATGGACGAATTTTCGATGTTTCTGACGCTAGTAGAAAGAGGAGAAGATTCAGAAGAATCCAAGACGACGAAGAACTTTCAGCCATGCCACGACGAGGGGCGCGTCACACTAAGAAACTTCGTCCCGCAGGATGTGCTCCACACGCATCCCCTCGACGCGTTTCAAGCTTGTATCTTGTTCGAGCGAGTGGGAATTTATACGTGAAAAAACGGGGACTCTACCAAGCATTGAGTGGACATGGGCAGCGAAGTAGTGGTCGTCGCAAGCTTGCCTCCGGTCCTAAACAAGGCCAAGAGGATCTGCGATAGTAAAAGCGAGGTTAGAAAATTGGCACCCAAGCAGTGCGCCTACCTGATTGAGAGAGTGGAGAAACTACACAAGTACCTGCTGGATATGATCGACTTCAAACCGGGGCTCCTGGAGGACTGCAAGCCGACCATCGCCCAGATTGACAGGGTCATGGACCGCGCACAGTTTTTACTCCACCGCTGCTCCAGCCCCGACTGGCTCTGGCACGCCGTGCTCAAGAAGGAGCACAAGCTCAAGTTCCAGATCATCCTGCAAGAGCTTAGTCAGTGCGTCTACTTTCTAAAGCTCAAGGTCTCGGTGAGTAAAGGTACGTTGAGGCCTGCGCCGCATGCTTGGGAGTGGCCGGAATCGGAGAGGCAGGAGCTCAAGGCAGCAGCGAACATGGACCAGAAAGATCTGAAAAGAGTAGCGGCGAAGTTGGAAGATAAAGAGACCGACGTGAACAAGATCGAGCTCGGGAGGTACCTCTTGGCGGAGGTGGAGAACAAGCGTTCGCAGGAGCTCCCGCTGCCAAAGTACCTGTTTCGCAATCCAGAGAAAGTGATTCAAGGTAAGCTCATTGGAGAAGGATCCTACGCATACGTCTACGAGGCTACATGGCTGGGAAGGACGGTCGCGACCAAAGCTTATGCTGTGCAGGACCCGAGCTCGGAAAGAGAGCTACAAGCTCTGTTTTATCTGAGGCACCCCAACATAGTGAAAATGGTAGGCTATACCCAGCGATCCAAGGAAGGTCCTTACGTTCTCCTCATGGAAAGAATGAAGCGCGACCTCCACAATCTCATCAAGGACATAGTACAGATCAAACCAGGACCTCCCTTCGAGATGGACGTGGCTGTCGATATCGTTCTCCAGATTGCCAGAGGCATGGAGTTTCTTCACGCAAACGACGTGAGCCACCTTGATCTCAAGACAGCCAACATACTTATCAATCTTCCAAGCAACGAATGCAGCTTTTACACTGCCAAGCTCAGTGACTTTGGACTATCAGAGACGAAACTCAAAAGTGCACAGACCAAGGTCCCAGTCAGGAGGGGCGGGACAGTAAACTTCATGGCTCCAGAAATATGGAACGAAGAAAAGAATGCAAGCAGGAAAAAGGCAGACGTTTACAGCTTTGGTATGACTTGCTACGAGATCTTCACCGGCAAGGTGCCATTCGAAGGCTGCTCTTACCCGGCAGCCGGATTCTTCCTCCGGGTTAAGGACAACAATCTCAGACCAATTCTACCACCTGGCTTTCCAAGGTGCCTATCTCTGTTTTTGCAGTGTTGCTGGCACGGCAGACCGGAAATCCGACCAACTTTCAAGAAGATATGCAATTACCTCATAGCGCTCAAAAACGTCCTCACGATTGGAGATCCTCCGGATGCAGTTCCAGATGGCTATTACCTGAACTCACCAATTGGAGATATATTAGACGAGGACAAGCAGCTGAATGCTATGGGCACAAGAGACCATCACGAGGCAATACTTGCCGCGCTGGAAAGCTTACAAAAAGAAGCGCAAGACAAGCTGCAACCCAATGCCTCAGGTGCCAAGTACAAAAGCAGGCTCAAATCGTACATACGAGACTCAGAGCATCTGGTGCATGAAGTAAGATCACACAAGAACAAATACATAGAGTTGCAATGCAGGGCGGTGACGACAGACGAGGAAGAAGAAAGCTCAAACAGTAACGAGTGTTGGCCGATCAGGAGGCTAAAGGTTGGACGAAAACAACGGTAAAGGCATTGCCAGCCAGTAAATCATAAAAGCAGAAAATGGACACCAACCTCATTGTCTGGCGACATTTTACTGTTTGAATGCATTCCTGCCAAAGGGATTGTTAGTCTCGGACGTACAATATACATGACGTACCTTTGAGGCAGTAAATGCGCACGGCCTGAACACTACTTGAAAAACTAAATGCGTTCCTGGTAGTTATGCAGTCAGCTTGTGGCTTTCTGCACCGCTGTGGAGGATCATAAAATTACGCCTACGCAGCTACAAACACAGGGCAAACTCATTGGAAGTAGAAACAAAGGAGAGAACGTACCTGAAGTACCTCAAGCTGGGTTTGTAGTTCCAATCATTGCCTAAGTAACTGTTTCGAGGGGTTAATTCAGGGCTTTTTACTGCTTCTGAATGTTTAAGCTTCTGTCGCTAGTGCAAAAGGAAGGCAGGAATTTAAAGACACAAGCTGTAAAAATACACGTACCAGAGTGGACAGGAAGCTTAAATTACTTCTTATGGACATAAGTGTGCCTTTCTTACAAGAGAATATATACGCTCAATATATACGAGCTCAACACCACCTCGGTCGTCTCTGCACAAATAAGGTAAACTTAAACCAATCTCAAGCCTCACAGCTGCCGTGATATTACTTACCAGCCACCTAAATTCATTCAGCTGCTCTAAGCAATTGTAGAGTTCTTCCTGGACAGCCTTGAGCGCCTGGGAAAACAAAAAAATAGGAGATAATAAGTCCAGTCAAAACACTGGGAAATATCATTCTTACTTTTCTTGCCTCCGCTACTTCTGCTTCAAGCGTCTTAATTCGTTCGGCAGTAGCATCAGGTATCTCTTCCGGAGGCTGTTTACTTTTCGACAGCTCGGTGACTTTCTCTTCTAGCTTGTCCATGCGTTTTTTGAGTTTTGGCGAGATGATTTTGTCCACAAGCTCTGGTGAAGGGACAGCATAAACCACTCTAGCATCCGTAATACTAGGCTCTTGATTTTGCGTCTTGTTGAAACCATAGAGCTCTTCGTTATTGCGCGAGAACGCTCTCCAGATGTAGCTCCACACCCACTGAAAGAAAAAAGAAATGTACGCTACTGCAGCCCAAAAATGTAGAAAGGTCCTTGTTTCGTTCTTTGAGGATAGTTCTGCGTGGCAAACAAAAGAAGGCTTATTAACCGGGCAAACTCATCATGAGCACATACCTGTCTTCGTGATCCGGTTACTCTCCTTCACATAGCCGTTGTCAACCACTTTATCAACCATCGGAACTATATCACCATCCTCCAGTATCGAAAAACTCTCCAACAAATCTGAATTGTCTACAGGCTTGCTAGTCACCTGCGAGAAAACAAATCAAAAAGGAAAAAAGTAAAGAAAATAGGCGCGCTACCTCTTCCGACACCGCTTTTAGTACATCGCAAGAGCGTGTTCTTGTGGGGGATGTTAATTCTCCATCTGATCCGGACTCCGCTGTTGAAACATCAGGATCATGACTCTACAACCATTTAAAGTTACTTCAAAACCTTCAGACTATAAAACCAAACGAACCTTTCCCCTAGGCAAATTATTTCGTTTAGGAGCAGTTACAACGTGCCTTACGAACTTCACATGCCCCTCCATTACAGCCTGCAGTTCACAAAAAAGACGTCATCTTCGTCAGCAACATTTGACACACACCTTCAGTATGGCAGGATCCTTCCAGGGACCTTTATCAGAACGAAGACATCCACCATCCCCAGAGCAAATGCAAGTTCCACCCAAAAAGTCAGGAAGCTGACTGTCGAGATTAACACAAGCGTAAGTTATGCGAGCAAACTGATAAAAGAAAGCTCTTGCCTAGCATCAATAACTTCCAGAAGCTTGCTGCGAAATTTGTTTCCGAGTACCTGAAAAAGAGCCTTGATGAAGTGAAACTGCAGTGTCCATTCAGCCTGCTTACAGATATTTTGGTAGCTGTTTTCGGATCTAAAAATCCCCGTATGGTGTTCCACACAAGCTTAAATCCAGGACCAGCATTTATAATAAACATACGATGCAATGTCTGCATAATAAACGCATAAACTCAGGAAGAAAAGCATAGAGTTCAACGAGCAGGCTGACCTCGGGATAGTTATCGCCGTCAATCTTTTGAATATTGATAATAAGGTCCCTTGCAGGCTTGCTGAAGTTTTTTAAGCTCTGGAAAAACGTACAGACAAAGCAGTAAGATTTGAAAAAGTAAGTACAGAAGTGCATCATACCACTCCAGCTACGTCCAAAATTGTTGTTGTGGAGTCGATGTGCCGCTTAGCAGCCGCTGAGCAGGCAGGAAACTTTTTCTTAATGGTCCTCTCGAACTCAACCACGTGATACTTCAAATATCTTTCAAGCGTTGTGACTTGCATCAGCTTGTTGGGTTCCACCTTCCCGATCCTCTCAATATATACAGGCCTTCCTTCTTTGTCCACTCCATGGTGGCCTTGTGGATAGTATTTCCTCACTTCCTCCAGCTCTTTGAAATGGAAATCCTAGACAGTCCAAAGAAGAAGAACAAAACATTAAAGAGAACCAGCCGTAAGCTTTTAAATGGATGGCACCGACCTCTTCAATCGTATCGACACCGTTTTCCCTGCGCCATTGCAGCATATCGGCCCACATTTGCTTGGCCTTCTCCAGATCGAACCTCCTGGCTTTCAAAAATCTACACAGGGAGAGATTTTTAACAGCACTTGCCGGCGATGCTTGGCTTACCTCAAAAGAGTGTAGTAATCATCGTGGTCGGCCGGGAGAAGATTCTCCACTGCCAAAGCTGCTCGAAACGCTTCCACCGACGTCTCCTCTTCCGCGTCGCGAATGTCCTCAATCGAGAGGGATTGACTCCTCGCGTCCGGCCGCCTCTTCCCCCTTCTCTTGAGAGAAGATCTAAATTTCTTGGAGGCGATCGCTTTCAAGGTCGCCATTTTGGTCTTCCCTTTCCTCTCGTCCTCGGAATCCTTCTCCAAACTCTCCTCCTGAGCTGCGGCGAGCCGATCTGCACGAAATATCGCCACAGCATCTTGAGCACCAGGAGGGAAGCCACAGCAAAGAAATCTCACCAGCATGCAAGAAGCTCGAGAGCGATCGATCGCCGTGCTCGTCTGCGACACTCTCCATCGCGCCTGAAATTTCCAGCTCTCCCCCCGCGACCGGCAAGACAACACTGGCGCTTTCTTTATTCCTCTCCCCTCTCACCGAAAAACCTAATCTGGGTTGTAGCCCGCCTGACGGCTGTCACTTGAACGGACGGCCAGATCACATCCGACGGCCTCGAGGATGACCGAGGTCGCATCCGACGGCTGGCATTGCAATAGGCTAACGGTCCAGCCAACGGCTTTGGTTAATTACAGTTATATTAGACTTTGAAGCTTTTGGTGCGCATGCCTATGAGAAAGAAGCTAGGCGGTCCCCCATTGGCCACCGAGAATCTTTAACTTTTGTTTGATTAATTCGGGATTATCGTTAATCAGACATAGCCTTCTCGTGCTTGAATGGCTAGGAACGGAGATCCATGGAAAAATTCTTTCGCACCACCTAGAAAGGAGTTAAAAATTTTGACACTGCCAATCACACGCTCCCACAATGTTGTCTACGCTGCTTTACATTGTTGGAAGGAACATCACCAAAAAACAAAAGGCTTGATTTTATCAGAGATTTGCCACACCTTTACTTAGTTTGCCTTGATAAATTTAATCACCGGGTCAAACACGTCTTGCCTTGCTCGAGTTCCTACAACAAAATCCGCGTGAGCGTAGTTTGGAAGAAATAGTGTTTGCTGCGTGCAAACGAGGCGCTTGGCCAGTTCCTGGACGCCCTGTGGCGTAGACAATGTGTCCTTGCCTCCATACACGAGGAAAACTGGAAAACTCTTGGGAATGTTGGCTGGCTCGTACGTCGGAGGAACCACTTGCGAGTAGGCGCGGATGTTCCCGAGGCTGCTACCATAGTCGAACTTTGCAAACAAACCGGTTCTCACCACTGCCAAGAAAGAAAACAAGAAGAAAAAAATCAATAGCGTCGAGATTGCATCGGAAAAACAAAACAAAGAGCTTACTTTGAGCAAGGTGAACTAAGTTTTTCGTGGAAGACCCTTGAGGCTCGAACTGGCGGTAGTAAGAAGTGAGGCTCGCGTTGAAGCAGCAATTCCGGCCTGTCCAGAAAGCGAAATCATGTAAGCTTTTTAAGAAGTTGCAAGAATTACCCGTCACGAGGACCAGCAAGTCTGCGCATCGGGGGTCCAGCGAGCATAAATTCCTGAGAAGGTACGCACCAATTCCACTGAAAAAGCAAGCAAAACTTAAAGAACAAACAAAGAGAAGGAAACCATCAATCCTTGTTTACGTTTCAAGAGTGAATTGTGACAGGCCTACGTCGTCGTAGATCTGCAAATCACAGCAGCATTGAGTAGTGAGTGACCTGTGACCGCGATTTCTCGATCGAGCGAGAAAAAAAGAAGAAACGAAAGAAACGAGAGAAAAAAAATCTCACCTGGTCCATGTAGAGTAGAGCAGCGAGCCTGGAAAGCGTGGAAGTCATGCCTTTGAGGTAGGCAATGGGGCTGAGTAACACCGCCGCCCTGACGACATTCATTAGCTTGGACTCCGAGAAAGCTGCCAGAGCAATCAACGTTCCCTGGGGAAATCACCACCAGCTCTTATCTCTCTCGAGCACCACACCACTATTTTACCTGAGAATGGCCGACATAGTAAAGCTCCGAGCCAGTGTTTTCATGAACCAAGTTGAGCATGGCTGGGAGATCGTACAGGGCATGCTCGTCCCAAGTCCAGTCCCAGTACGCCTAGCAGAAAAGAGCAAAGAAAAATCGAGTCACAAAGTTCATTCTTTGGCCACAAATGGGAATGAAACTCCAAGAGGGAACAAACAATCGCAAACAAAAGCCAGCTCTTCGAGTGAAATCTCAAGAACAATACCACGAATCGCAAAGAAAACTCAAGAACAATATCATGAATCGCAAGAAACAAAGATCTCTATCACGGAACCGATAGATTCCGGGCATTACCTTGTCGCCGGAGGAGTACGAGACATGCTGGCGACTCCAATGCGTGCCCCGGAGATTCCCGATCCACACATCGAAGCCTTCGTCCGCGAGAACAAACCCAAAAGAATTGCGCGGGGGATAAAACACCCAATCGTCTCCTCCCTGCTCCACAGTCACACACTCTTTTTTCTACTTTTACTTTTCACACATACCTGAAGAACACCGTGCTGGAGAAACACTGGCTTTGGCGATGGCGAGGAAACTCCCGCCACACCGTGTGGTATTCTATGAACTCGCAGAATGTAGCCATCTGGAGTTGTCACCTAAGAAATAGAGAGGTTTTCTTTCTTTTTGTTCTCGCAAGTTCTTTCTCTACCAGATTTTCATATCGCTTACTTTGAACTCCTGGCAAGGATAGCCATGAACCAGGACCAGCGTGGAGCAAAAGCTGTCTTCGGCAAATCTTAAGATTTGCTTCCCATGATTTGGGAATGAAGAAGAAGGTGCTGCTGCTGATGCTGCTACTGCTAGACATGCTGCAAGGAGCAATGGAAGAACCATTTTCATCTTTGGCTTTGCTTTTGGGTCTGTTCAGCAGCAATCGCACTAAAAAGGCAGCGCCCACATTTGAGTGGAGTGGAGATCTTTTCTTTTCACACAGCTTGGAGCACTATGCCTACATCTCTCAACAATCACTCACGCGCTAGTGGCAGCTTTCTTCAATGGCTTCTTGAATACATGATACATCTCATGCTTGGTGTTGATTTTCAGGGAATCTTCTATCCCAGACAGACAGTATTTACCTTTTTACATATATTTTTACATGTCTGTAAAGCCTACCTGCTTACAAATCATACATTCATGCAAAATTGATATAACTGATTGCATTGCAGGCAGCAGCAGCCCCTTGGGCACATCATGCTCTGCAGTGATTGCCTTGCAGCACAAATTACTAATTGGAGCAGTCAAGTGTTGTTATATTAAATGCTTGTGGAGGCATGAACGACTCCTGGTGGGATCAGATGGAAGAATTATCTATCTATCTGTTTATCTACATGTTGTTTTGATAATGCCCAACTAGAAGCATGAGACTGATGGATGCAAAAATGCAAGTTGGATTATCATTTTCGCATAGGTGGCGTCCTCATTGTCGTTGTGCTCCCGCTCACTGGCCCTGCCTACCTGTCTTCTTTTCCTTGGCCGTTCAAGGTCTCTGCCTCCATTGCATGTGTGACATGTATTTGCCATCGCAGCTCTATGCGTTTCAGGTAATTGGCAGGGGATGAGGTTGTCTCCTTGTTTGCGAGGATTATGTATGTTTTGGCATCCCAGTTGATGTCTGGGGAGCAGAATTTGGCATAGGACGGGCAAGCCTTGAGTGTGTGCCTGACCGTCTCTGTGTCTTCTCTGCAGACCAGGCAGATCTGGAGATGTCGTGGAGGTTTTCCCTGTCTGCGGCATCCGGGTTTGATCAGGAGGCTGTGGTTTCCTGTGCAGTACCGTCTGCTCCATGTTGAAAGGTTGTTGTAGATGTTCAGTCTGAACATTTCATCTGGGTTTATCTCCTGGTGATATTTTGTCCAGTGTTCTTTGGCATGTATCCATGTGTGCATTGCTTTGTTCGACCATTGTTCAAGATCCTCTTTAAGTGCGTTGAAAATGTTGTTGAGATCCATGCCAAACTTTTGTGTCCACGTCCACGTCTCTATGTCATGCCACCATCCTTGTCCATGTTGCCATGTGTTAGGCGCCAGCTTTGACTACGTGGTCAACGTCGGTCAAAGGGAGGCTCAAGGGTATATTAAGGCATGTTAGGGTAGGGGACTTAACCTACCTTAAGGCTCACCGTGGAGCGGCGGCGCAGTGGAGCTTTTGAGGTAGCTTGGGGGTGGTTGGGTGGTGAGGAACCTCAAGAGGTGGCGTAGCATAGTCTAGGGCGACTAAATCTTTGTCTTTTTGCGCCGGATCATAACATTGGTATCAGAGACATTGGTTGCGATGGCTGACCAAGCTGAACGCTGGAATCCTATTGTCGATGGTGGTGCCGACGATGGTGCCGACGAAGCTATGGAAATTTAGACCATTCAAGATGTGGTTCATGAGCTGCGAGCCCTTAATAAAAATCAGCAAGAGATGCAAGACGAGATGCATGGCATGATGGATACCATGCGTGGGCATGTTGAGGCACTCGAGGCTGGACGGGGTAGCGCTCCAAGTAAGCCTTCTTTGGTAGATCGACTCAAAATTCCAACTTTTTCCGGTGATGGTGGTGTGGATGAGTGTCTCGCTTGGCTAGCCAATGTGAAGAAGTTCTTGGCTGCTAGGGGAACTCCGGATGCAGAGGCTTTAGTGGCTATTCCGATGGTTTTGCGTGATGCGGGTCTTCGATGGTGGAATTGGCTTGAGGAGTCCCGTGTTGCGGATAAGAAACCACTAGTGTCTACCATGGATGAGTTTGAGGTTGCTTTCCGTTTACGTTTTTCCCCTCATTACGACATGGAGAATGCTCGTACAGAACTTCGACATTTCCAGCAAGGGAAAATGACGCCGGGGACTATATTGAGAAGCTTACTCGCTTGATTAGTCGTGTTCCAACGAAGGATCCAGATCAGAACAAGTCCTACTTCATTGATGGCCTACATAGTGAGAGCATGCGGCAACACTTGCGTCATTCTCAGCCTACAAAGAGTTTGGAGGAGCTCTTTGATGCAGCTCGTCGACTTGACAATGACAAGCACAAGTCTCGCAAGCGTTCGCGGAGTCCTTCTGTCGAGAATCGTTGTGATGATCACCGTGGACACAAGGATGGGAACAAGCATCACAAGTTGAAGTCAGTGGTGACTACTTCAGATGCAAAGGGGTCCAAGAAGCAGAAGTTCTTTGTGAAGAATTATAGACAGGGTTGTCATCATTGTGGTGAACTTGGACACTACAAGGCTGATTATCCGCAGTTAAAGAACAAGCAGCAGGACAAGAAGAATGGCCACTTTTCTTCTCACGGTAAGTCCGATACTAAAAAGTTGCAAACTTTGTAGCGTGAGGATGAGGAGAACAACCATTTTGGTTGGAAGAAGCGACTTTCGATTGTTGCTCATCAGCTCAACTGTGTGTGGAACAAGATGGAGCTCGAGGATACGCGTGAATCAGCTTTAATGCTGGAGGGCGTGTTCTGTGGCGATCCAGTGCGGATTTTACTGGATAGTGGGAGCGATGACAACTTTGTTTCGGCAAAGTTTGTTGCGGAGCATAGCCTGGTCACACGCGGAGTTCTTCCATATACAGTGGAAGGTGCAGCCACCTCTACTCAACATTTCGATGCTTGTGTCAAGGGGCTGGAAGTGTTGGTTGGCAAAACCACACTTGTGGAGACTTTTTATCTCGCGGATATTCATCGTGTGGATCTCATTCTTGGGATGCCATGGTTGGTGAAGGCCTCTGGATGATCATGATAGTGGAATAAAACTTGAGTAATTAACACATCCACCCGTGGCAAATATACACGGCCATTGTAGTAGAGAATCCCATCCACCAATGAGAAAGGAGCTTCCATCTAGTCTCGCAAAGAGGCCACCTCAGCATCCTGAGCTTGAGCATGCTCAACCAATTGCCCAAACTCGCTGACCACCTTACTCAAATGATGACAAAATCGTGTTCGTAACATCGTCACATGACGAACACGAGATAAAGCATCCGCCACCACATTTGATTTTCCCGGACGATTCTCAATAGGAAACTCCCCAAACTCCATGAGTTTGACCATCCAACGAGCTTGCCTAGTGTTCAACTCCTTTTGTGTGAAAAGATACACAAGTGGTTTGTGATTTGTCAACACCACGAACACTACACCATAAAGATAGTGTCGCCACGTCTGCAAAGCATGAACAATAGAGAGTAACTCTTGCTCATATGTGGAATAGCGTTGCTCAGCGGAATTCAAAGTTTGACTCTCATATGCAATAGGTTGTCCCTCTTGCATGAGAACTCCTCCCAGTGCATAACCACTCGCATCACATGTCACCTCGTAAGGTTTCAATGGATCAGCAATGCGAAGCACTGGAGCTTCGCTCAACAATCGTTTCAGCACCACAAAACTCTCCTCTTGTGGCGTCTTCCACTCGAAGGGCACATTCTTATGTAACTGTGTCAAAGGAATAGCCACCGCTGCAAACTTATGCTGAAAACGTCAGTAGTAACTAGCCATACCAAGAAAACTGCGCAACTCAGCCACTGTAGTCGGTGTAGGCCAGTTTTCCACCACAGCCACCTTCCTTGGATCCATCTTGACACCCTTAGATTTCACAATATGGCCTAGATATTCCACCTCCGACTTTGCAAATTCACATTTGCTCTTCTTCGCATAAAGTTTGCTGTCTCGAAGTAACAAAAGAACCTTGCGCAAATGCACCCTATGCTCCTCCATATTTTTGCTAAAAACAAGAATATCGTTCAAGAAAATCTCCACAAACTCATGAAGATAATGCCCAAATACCTCCTTCATCAACCGAGTAAATGTGGCCGGTGCATTTGTCAAACCAAACGGCATAACGGTAAACTCAAAATGTCCGAAGCTTGTGTTGAATGCCGTCTTGGAGATAGATGCATCATCCATTGCAATCTGATGATATCCACTCCTCAGATCAATCTTGGTAAACACTCGTGCTTCACCAAGCTTGTCCAGGATATCATCCACACGTGGCATCGGCATCTTGTCCTTCACTGTCTTCTTGTTTAAAGCACGGTAGTCAATACACATCCGCATTGAACCGTCCTTCTTCTTCACAAGCAAGACCGGAGCACCAAACGGAGATTTACTTGGCTGAATAAATCCAAACTCAAGTAACTCCTTGACTTGTCATTGAACTTTTTGCTCCTCTGCATAACTTAACCGAAATGGACGCCGGTAAATTGGCTGCGTCCCTGGCTCCAATGTAATCCCATGCTCCACACCTCGTAACGGAGGTAATCCATGAAGAAGTTCAGATGGAAAAACATCAGAAAACTCGTCAAGTACATCCCATACTGCTGCTTCTCCCCCACACGTGTCTTGGTCCCCCAAGTCACGAACAAACAGCAAGTAACTTGAAAGTGTTTTTCCATTACGACAAGCCCGCTTCAAAGATGTAGCAGAGAGCATAACAACTGGTGGTTGAACGCCCTCGCCAAACCACACATCTTTAACATGCCTTAATATACCCTTGAGCCTCCCTTTGACCGACGTTGACCATGTAGTCAAAGCTGGCGCCTAACAATTCTTCCCCCCCAACAAAGTCCTTGTCCCAAGGACGAGTTGTATTGGTGATCACCCTTTCTGGGGAATCCTGCTCAAGCTCCTGGTCCATCTTCCATAGCCGTATACATCAAGGAGGCATTGGGCTCGTCACTCCAAGATAGTACACCTTTCAACTGGCTGACATAAAATACCGGATGAATTTTCACCCTAGCTAGCAGCCGCACCCGATAAGCCGCTTTACCAATGTGCTCCAGCACTTCATATGAACCAGCATATCGATAGGAGAGTTTATCACTCTTCCCTGTCCGTAAAGGCACCAAGGTGTTCCGCCGCTCACTTGACGGAAAGATCACTCGCACAAAGACGAGATCACCCACCTTATATTCCCGGAATTGGCGATGCTCATTGGCAAACTTCTCTGCTCTATCATGAGCTGCTTGCAAATTCCGTTTGCACACCACCAGAATCTCATCAAATTCTGTGGCCAGATCAGTTG